CTTTTGAGGACTATTTGGAAAGGTTTGAAATCTGGAGCATGACCAAGAAAGATGATGAGGATATTAATATTGTGGCACATTTTCTCACATTCATCGGAAAAGAAGCATATAGCTTAATATAAATTTTGGCTTTACCGGAAAAGCCCATTTCTCTTCCTTATACAACTCTCAAGGAACTACTTCTAGACTATACTAAGTATACAAATTTCGAATGCGGTAAAGGGAGATTTCGTAAAATAATTCATGAGGATATAAAAAATTCCACTATATTACGTCACCCCATCCCAAAACATACTCAAGGTTGTTCAGTTCACGAAGATGGGCACAAGTTTAATCAATGTTTTTTTTTGTGGCAAGTTCCACCCTTTGAATTCATGTAAATTTCGTAATTGTAAGTGCTTTAAATGTGGTGATGTCGGACATATTCAGTCAGTTTGTAATACTACTGTTCATCTTGCTGCAACTAATATTCAGTCATTCGATTCTGATTCTATTAATCTGAATATTTATAATGATCATTTATCTTTATTGACGATTTCAAAAGACAGTTTAGAGTCATGTACCAGTTCAGAGTTGAATGAAACTCAGGATCCTTGCGAGAAAACAATTCCTAATCAATCAACTTATCAGATTTCTCATGTTATTGTACCAGATATGATCTTTCCTAATGATTCACATATTTCTGATGAAATTTCTTACAAATCTGATGAGAATATTTCGGATGAACCTAATGATGATCAAAAAGCTGATTTAGTTTTGATAGATGCTGATTTTTCTAATGATTCTTTGCTCTGCAATGACATTCTTAATAAATGTGAGGAAAATACTTCAGAAGAATTCAATCCTGATGACGTCGTATCAAATGTTATTTGTCCTCATAATGTATTCGTTTCTTATGGGAAACCTGTTCAATGCGAAACACAAGTACTAAATGAGTTCGATTTTGAATACGATTCATATGATTTCACATCAACTGTTGTTTATCCTTATCATAAATTCACTTCCAATGTATACTCTAGTCAATGTGAGAAAGACGTTTTAAATAAAACCACATTATTCATAACTTGGGGATATGAAGATCCGACATTATTTCGTGGGGGAGGATAGTCTGAATGTCTATGGTTGAAATTCTAGGTAGCAGTACTTTCAGTACTCAACCGACATGATGATTGTACACAATCCCAGAAATCAAGTGAGTCTGTTCCGATTTCAGTTGTTTATTCTAATAATAATGAGTGCATTCTAGATAATACAGAGTCTTTATCCAATACATTGTCGGACAGACACAGCATGAACTTAAGAAGAACACGTACAATTGATTACAGACACTTAGACTCTAATTTAAGCTGTGGCGGATGTGGTGTTTGAATAAACTAATGAGTCCTTGGTACTTGTTGAATGTTTGATTTCGAATTCTAAATACAGTACATTCGTTAGTGCTTGTGCAGTACTTCTTGATTCAATTACGTTATCCCTGGGATTATTAGTTCATACTATAATTCAATTACTTCTAATTATCATAGAACGTCAGAATACTGCCTGACATACCATATTCTGAGCGCACTCTCACTCGCAACATCCACAAAGAATCTCGCGAGAAGTTTTTCCGCGGAAGAAATATCATCGTGCAAGGTGTACCGGAAAACATGGACCCTAGTCAAGCAAACTCCGACATTCGGGAATGGAAATTCATCAAACAGTCCTTGAGGCTCAAAGACATACTGACAGCACGTGACGAGGCTGGCCAAGAAGTACGGTGATTCCAGACCCCGTCTAATGAGAATAACTTTTCCATCCTCCCATATGGCGGCTGCAGCTCTGGAAGCATTTCGTGTCGACAGACGTTGATTGCCAACTGGGATCCACGTGCACCCAGACAGGCCATACGACGCCACGATCAAGCACAAAAGCAAGCTGGAGCTGACCATTCCACCTGTAGACTGTCTTGAATACAATAAAACGTGTAAAGGACAGGGCCAAACAAAATGGATAAGCTACGTGAACTTAGCAATGCTAATAAGGTTCATCTGATAAGAATATCTGAAACTTGGGTATCTTCTCAGTTTTCGGACCACGAACTAGCAATGCCTGGGATGTCTCTGTTTCGCAATGACAGAAAAACAGGAATTGGGGGTGGAGTAGCCCTATACATACGATCTAGCTTGGAGGTACACTAGGTTCACAATCATGAGTTTAATAATCTTGAGGAATCCATATTGTGCTCTATGAGATTGTCCACTACTTCGAGGTGCCTAGTCGGAGTCATATATAGGAAGCCCACTGCCGACATCGAGTATGACAGTCGTATGCTGAAAGGATTATCGCGCTCCACACGTCTCGGTTTCACTCATATCCTGATTCTAGGGGACTTTAATCTCCCTAGAGTCAACTTCGCAGAACATACGTATATTGGAGGTGAAAATTAAATCGAAGCTCGGTTCTTCAACCTAATTGAGGACTTTGGACTACACGAAAATGTGAAGTTGGCTACTCGTTGGGGGAACAGTCACACACCGTCGCGTTTAGACAATGTTTTTACAAACGAAGAATTTCTAGTTGACAACATCTCACTCCTGGCTTTCCTGGGGAAAAGCGATCACGCCGTTATAGCCTTCAGTTTTGCTGGCAAAACTGAGCTGGGATACCCCACTAACAACAGGCGCTGGAATTTCATGCGGTTGAATGTGTCAGCTCTACAGGACTATCTAAAACAGGTGGCTTGGGATGTTCACCGTAAACTTGATGTGAATGCTCATTGGAACTTCTAACTGCACACGCTCTTATGTGCTACACAGTTGTCAGTTCCTCAAACGGCCCCCAAAAGGTACAAGCAACCTACAATCATCAGGAACCACACTCTTCGTTTGTTAAGCCGCGAAAGTCACTGTTGGGCAGAATACAAACGAACTGACAACAATGGGCATTTCAACCGACCCACATCAATTATACTGATGACGGCTTCATCTGCAACTGCACAGGACTTTCCGTAGTGAATCTGAGCGCTGACTGGGTGATCCTAAAACTGCAGCATCTAAGAACAGACACTTCTCCTGGCCCAGATATGGTCTACTCTGCTATACTGAGGGAAGCAGCTTCAATCCTGGCAACACCACTTAGCGTGATGTTCTCACACTCGCAAAGTCGAGGCAAAATACCAGAAAATCGGGAGATGGCTCATATCACACCAACTTTCAAAGGAGGCCGACTCAGCGAACCTTCAAGTTACCGGCCAGTGGCTCTTATCTCTTTACCTTCAAAAATCATGGAGTCCCTGGTATACGATGGTATACATGACTATTTACTGTCCTTAAATTTCTTCTCACCCCAGCAGCAGGGTTTCAGGAAGGGTCTCTCTTGTATGACGAACCTGCTGACTGCGGTGGACAGACGGACAAGCATCCTTGATCGCAAGGGGAAAGTTGATATTATTCACCTTGACTTCTCAAAAGCTTTTGATAGGTTTAACCATATATGTCTTATCAACAAGCTCAGACAATTGGGCATCAGACCACCTCTAATTTATTGGCTCAGTTCATTTCTGAAAAATCGACATTTTAAGGTCAGGGTAAACTTCAATTTCTCACACGCTATGAAATGTCCTAGTGTTGTCCCCCAGGGCTCAGTACTAGGACCTCTTCACTTCTTGATTTATATAAATGATCTTCCTAAACAGGTAACGTCAGACATATTGCTCTTTGCCGATGACGTGAAACTTTGGAGAGAGATACGCAACCAAGAGGATATACAAGCACTTCAGGAAGATCTGACTCGACTTCAAAGTTGGGCAGACGACAACAGACTTACCTCTAACACTTCAAAGTGTAAAGTAGTTCATCTGCGACACGTCGCAGATTACAGATACAACTTAGGAAACTCCTCTCTAGTAGTATCCCGAGTCGAAAAAGATTTAGGAGTTCTGGTGCCCTACGACTTAAAGTCTTACGCCAACTGTGACAGAAATGCCTTTCGAGCAAACCTTTCACTGGTAACATTGAAGCGCATTTTTGGTCAGTTTGGCGGGAGAACTTTCCACATAATGTTTAACAGTTTTATTCGTCCCAATTTAGAGTACGAAAACATAGTATTCCCTCCTGCACTCCAAAAGGATAAGGACACTGGAGCGTATCCAACGGCGAGCCACGAAATCAGTTCGGGGACTCAAATTTAAACCTTATGAAGAGCGCCTCCAATCACTCGACCTTTACCCATTAGAGTATAGGCGTCTTAGAGGTGACCTTCTAATGGCTTACAGTATCCTTAACACTTCTGTACATTTTCTTAAACACCTACTTAAGCTTAGTCCCAACACTAACCTAAGGGGTAACACCCAGAAATTAGAGATACAACATAGTAGAACGGACTGCAGGCACAACTTATACTCCTTAAGAGTTGTCAAATGCAGGAATTCGCTGCCAGCTGGGCTAGTCCAAGAAACTTCCCAAGAGTCCTTTATGAGGCAACTTGATCTATTCTTAAGGACTAAGGATAGTATCTTACTATGATTTATCAATTTCTTTTTTCCCTTTTATCGTTAATACACCTAGGTTCCTGCATGGAAGTATTGGTGATCGCCTGCTACTAGACATGGAAGCCTGTTAAGCGAAAGCTTCTTCTATTCCGTCCACAACCATTTGAACTATTTGGACTATTTAAATTACTTGTCAGCTGACTCTTAACTTGCCCATCGAATCATCAACGAATGGAATTCATCTTCCAGTACATGAGTGTAGCTCTATCTGTCGACGCTTTCAGAAGAAAGTTGAACCGATTGAGAGACCATCATAGCTAGGACTTATACAGGCCACTTACCATTTTTTCCAAACTAAAATAGAAACTGAACTTTGGGAAACTCTGCTTGTTTTCATATGCTCAAGACTACCAGCAGATATTATAATGAACTATTTTCGCGAATTGCTGTGTTGATATAGCAAAAGTCTTTTCTGACCAGGCCTCAACACTTTTAGATTTAGAATTATTTAGTGCTGAAGTGGATATTCACCGGCGCGCGTCTTGACTGTAGGTCGTTTGACGCGTTCAAAAGCTTTAGCTCACTTCAGGTTTGGTTTGTCAGGTTTCCTGAACCTCAAATTTGTGATATCATTAGTATTTGCCTTTTGGTTTCGTTATTAAACGCAGGTCTGTCACATGATTTTGTAGAGTCGTCGGTTATTCCCTTGTCATGTAATTCTTATCTCCGATCTCCACACGTGGTACCGTATGTACACAAAACATAGTGCGCCTACTCTATCAAGAAAGTGTGTTGTTTCAAGCTACAGACTATCTGCTTTATGTTTTCATCTCGTTGGAGGGTGTGTTCATAGGACAATGGCGACCGTGTAATGAAGATTGACATCACAATAGGTTGACAAGCCTATGATGCGACGGTAGTAAATGTTATTGCGGATTAGAAGGCATCGCAATGGGGTCACATTAGGCTCATCAGTATCTTAAAGTATGACGGGTTTGTTCATTGGTCTGAGATCGTAGTAACGCAGGTTAGGTTTTAACCGCAACCTCGTCGATGCGCAAGCGCTGTTAGTCCGTTATAGATGGGCGGCATATAGCTTTTCATTCGGGCTCCCTAGTTTTTAGTGTCCATTTGACTTCGAGTAATTTTTGTCCTATTGTTTACCTACTTCAGACTAATTTAGTGTACTGTAATCATTCCGTTATATGACAAGCTCAAATAACTGCGATATTATAATATCAACCTCTTATAAGAGGTTGAATATGAAGTACTATATTTTATACACGTGGATTCATCGGACCATATGCAGAGCACAAAGAGTTTGTAAACAGTGGCAATCACATGTGGTGTGCTCTGTGATAGGTTAGCTAATATAAAGATCAATCGTGTAATGTGTATAACGGAGTCAGAGTCGTACGATACTCATATTAATATTACTGTCAGGATTAATACACCCTATTCTGAATTTAACTAGCCGTACACATCCGACATACCCTTTTTTTGCAGACTCCTGAGTGTCAGTTGTCTGAATGGACTTTGGCTTATGACTTCTGTTTTCTGTCTAGTGGATTACACTGTTGGTCACACGGTTGCCCCTTTCATTTGCTGTAGGTCACATCAGATGGTTTTTCGTTTACGGATAGTATTGTTGGTGATCTTGCTCACCATTAACTTTTGTTGGTTTCATTATCACTAAATGAGTATTTTGTGTTCACTGTATCTACTTGGGTTAGTTCTTATTATCCCTCATATGATGCTAGCTTGATAGAGGGCGGCTCGCAGCTTTTATCTATTATGTTAACGGCTACATACCAACTGGTTAAAGGCGTTTTCTCCAAAAATAGCTATTAGCGTTTGCTATTCCAGAATCCTACTTCGTGGATCAGTCACTCGCTACTTATTATCTTTTATTCATATAGTTATTTAAAATATGCTTACTAAGTTTTAGACCTACCCTTTTCCTTTTCTCAGATCCCTTGTTACGCTATTCGACCTGGCGAACTGGAATTCCACGCAAGATTATTCCTTCACTTTTTTACCAATCAAAACCCATTAACCTGTTGATACAGTTCTTTCAACATGTTTTTGAGGCCAGAGAGTTTAGGTCTACTTTTCTTGATACTCAATACCTCATGGTCGGTAGATCGTACTAATTTTAAGACATGTGACCAGAGCTCGTAAGTTAAATGATTTTATAGTTTACTCATATTACAGGTTCTGTACTCGACAACGACAAATAAAACCCGGGGAACTTGCGCACTGGTTAGAACCAAGTTCTGTCAAGATAAACCCATATGGAATAACTGCAGTTATTTATACTGAAGATCGAAACCATTCTCTGTCGTTAGATGTTACCTATAATCAACACTCCATCTTCCGTGTACTCATTGATGAATTGACAGATGAGTATAAAAGGTATCGTGTACCTACAGGAGACGTTTTGCCAGGCGTTCAAAAGGCCCCTGCCAGGTGTATATTTGCTGAAAATGGTTTAGTGTTGGATGGACAGTCTGGATACAAGGCAGTCGTGTATTATAACCCTTTTCATATCGATTTTTTCCTGAATGACGTTGTTGTAGCGTCAGCAAATAAGAGAAGTCTTTTAAATTTTGAACATCAGAGGAAAAAACCGATTATCGATAAAAATAAGGTATCTCAAAATGACAACCATACGTTACCAAGTGAAAATCATGAGGTCGATATTTCTACTGTAAAGAGTTCCGAAGATTCTTCAGGAAATACAGATGTACCAAAAGACTCTACTACCGATGAAGACAAAGAAGATGAAAAACAAGATCATATAGGTACAGATCACACAGTTCCGGAAGATCAGTCATGGTCAGAATATTTCAAGGAACATCTTGACACAAGACCTCACGGCCTAAACTCCATCTCGATGGATTTCGACTTTCAGGGATTCAGTCACGTCTATGGAATCCCAGAACATGCTGATGGATTCGTTTTGAAATCTACAAATGATGGCGACCCCTACAGACTTTATAATCTTGATGTATTCGAATATGAGGTCTATAATAAGATGGCCTTATATGGCTCTGTCCCTGTTATGTGGGGACACAATCAAAACAGTACTGTGGGTGTTTTGTGGCTGAATCCGTCGGAGACATGGATCGACATTGATCACTCAAACTCACAAAATAGCGGAATATTTTCCGGTTTTTTTTCAAAGAAACCAGAGAAATCTTCAGTACAAACGAGATGGATATCTGAGTCCGGCTTAGTAGATTTATATGTGTTCATGGGTAGTACTCCATCTGAAGCGATGCGTTCTTATGCTAGCGTGGTAGGTACTACCAAGTTACCACCCCTGTTTGCGATTGGTTATCATCAGTGTAGATGGAACTACAATGATGAAGCTGATCTACTTTCTGTAGACAAACATTTTGATGAATATGAAATGCCTGTTGATGTTCTGTGGTTAGACATTGAACACACTGATGGAAAACGTTATTTTACTTGGGATAGAACTAAATTTCCAAATCCAAAAGAAATGGTTGATAAACTGAATCTTAAAGGTCGAAAGCTCGTTACGGTTGTTGATCCTCACATTAAGCGTGACTCGAATTGGCCTTTATTCAGGTAATTTTCCCACATTTTAGCATTTCATGAAAATTGTTTATGTATGATTCCTTTAAGCACAAAGTTCTGTGGGTAAACTTCCCCACTACAATGAAGATTTTACTTAATCTTTTATAGAATTGCCTTCTCACTAATTAGGTGATAAAAATTGTTAAATTTGAGGTGTGTAATTATGTCAAACCAATTACATCTAAGAATTGCAGATAGTAAAGAAGTTTTTGGTCCTATTACGAAAAGTTTATTAATGTCTATCTAAAACGTTTGTAAACTTCATGGTGTCTGTGATGGTCCTCTTGACATTGACCATGTAAAACCTACTTTATAATGTATCAGACATTTTCTAAGATATTGATATCTGACTAGTTTATTTTCAGTTTCTCGTCTTGATTCTATGTTAATGAACTTAACTAAAAAGTCCTACAGTTTATTTTAATTCACATATTTGACTGAGGGTTTTGGAGATATGTTTAGTAGTCAAACTGTCATACATTATTGTTAGATGATATTGAAGTGGTTCCACAAAAGGTATTGAAGTTTATTAACATCCTAAAAGCCCTATACACAAACACCTCAGGCAGAGTGAGGGCATACAATCACCTTTCTCCACTATTCCATTCGAGCAGTGGGGTTAGGCAGGGTTGCCCAATCTCACCATTCCTCTTCAACTTTGCCATCGATGACATTCTGGAAACAGCTCTGACGGATGTAAGTAATGGTGGTGTGGATCTGCTACCTGGAGAAAGACTTCTTGACCTTGAGTATGCGGGTGATGTTGTCTTACTGTGCGATAATGCCCAAGCAATGCAATCCTCACTTAATCACTTGGCAATCAGTGTCCGTAGGTATGGTATGTGCTTCGCACCTTCGAAGTGCAAAGTCCTTCTACAAGACTGGCAGGATTCTAATCCTGTACTCACTCTGGATGGTGAGCAGATTGAAGTAGTCGAGAAGTTCGTGTATCTGGGTAGCTGCATAAGTGCTGGTGGTGGTGGTGTGAGTGATGAGATCAATGCACGTATAGTGAAAGCCAGAGCGGCTTATGCCAATCTGGGCCATCTTTGGCGCCTTCGCGATGTTAGTCTGGCTGTAAAAGGTCGGATCTACAACGCGACGGTGGGAGCAGTTTTGCTCTATGCTTGTGAAACCTGGCCTCTCCGAGTTGAGGATGTTAGACGACTCTCTGTGTTCGATCATCGTTGTCTCCGAAGGATTGCTGGCATCCAGTGGCAACACCATGTCAGTAATGCAGAGGTTCGGCATCGTGTGTTCGGTCACAGAGACGATAATGAAATTGGTGTCACCATCTTGAAACACCGACTTCGGTGGCTTGGACATGTTCTACGAATGTCGTCCCAGAGAATTCCACGTCGTGCATTATTTGCCGACTCTGGGACTGGTTGGAAAAAGCGGAGAGGTGGTCAGTATATGACATGGTGTCGTGGTATGAAAGAAAGCTGCAAAGGGCTAGCCTCTGTTGGTCCTTCACGACTCCCTGGTTGGGGTCCGAGAGACGGTGTAACGCAGTGGCTAGAGACGTTATCAGATATGGCTCAGAATAGAAGCCAGTGGCGATCGTGCTGTAACCTCTTACTTTCTTCATAAAAAGTGGTTGTATCTTCCTTAACTGAAAGATCTCTTCTGATTGTACCTTACCGTTTCCTCCACCATTGTTCTCTCTCTCTCCCTTTTTTTTTATAATTCCCCACATTCATTACATTTTTTCTTTTCTCTTTTCTCCTTCTCTTCAAATTATCATTGTTTTGTGTGGCGCATATGTATTTGGTGCCCCCCTTGTACCAATATTTATGTGTTCAAATAAATAAATAATAAATAAATTGAGCATAGACGAAGTTTCTCAAGCATCTAAGTTATCCTTCTCTCAAAGAGAGGTAATAATAAGTGAAAAGCTTTAAAGTAAAGAAACTTATAAGTGTAATTGTTAATCACATTTTGGATACGGATGTTGGTGCAAATATTAAAGTAAAAAGAGACTGTCACTAAGTACTCAGTCGTTCAGTGTCACCTGATATTACCTGCTTCGGTCTGGGCACCCGAGCAGTATCACAGCCCACACACAAATAAAATGAAAATTTGTGTGGCGCATGTATATTTGGTACCCTCTTGTACCAATATTTATGTGTTCAAATAAATAAAATAATAAATAAATCACCTGATATTATTATTATGTTATTATATTCATAAACTAAATTAACCCATTTTCCCAACCCGTTCGCATAATTGAAGTTACCAGTAAATTATCTGGCATTAGGGTGAATTTATTCATCAGTGTTAAACATTTCTTTGTATTGTGAACATAAACGCATCATTCTGACTAATAAATTTATACTTAATGGAAGCCTCTTTTAATCTTTTCTCAGCAATTCCCAAAATAATGGAATTTTCGTCAAAACTAGAGATGGGACCGAATTCGATGGTTGGTGTTGGCCTGGATCTAGTGCGTGGCCTGATTTCACTGATAAATCTGTTCAGCAGTGGTGGTCAAATCTATTCCTTACTTATGAGCCTGTTTGCAAAGATTCCATGTTTACCTGGAATGATATGGGTGAACCATCAGTTTTTAATGGCCCTGAAGTCACTATGCACAAAGTAAGCAGGCCACTAAAGTTTGTGGACTATTGTCTTTGACCTTGGCTACAGCTTGCACAAACCGGAATATGTATTGTAAATATTTTCCTGGTCTCTTTCATACTGTTCTTACTTCGTATAATGTAGGGCATCTATATGGGTCATTGTTTAGGCATGTGTTAGAGTCTCTGTCTGAATAATTCGGACTGATAATTGAAATCAAGTATCACTTTGAACTCGGTTTAAGCCATAGCTTTAAATATTTTCCAGAATTAAGATGACATAATGGTTTCATAACTAGCTGAATTGTGTAAAAATATGAACTGATGCTATTCCAGTATCCGAATGAGCACATTGCCGTATTCATTTTTTGAAACGTCCCACATGATTTATGTGAAAATAATTTAGACATATCTTATCGTTTATTTGACTGACTACCGCCACACTACAGAACATGTCAAAGATTGACTCCTGAGGAGTAGGTTGGCTTTCGTTCAGGTTGTGGATGTATTCATCATATATTAACTCGCCACCAAATGCTTGAACACTTAAGTCCACAGTACTTGGACAAGACTTGTAGGAGCCAGTACCTGTACTCAATTTTTGTGGGGAGCCGTTGCACGTAGTTGAATAGTTCGTGTATTTCTGTTGTTTTTTAAGTGCATGTGGTTGCTCTGTAGATGAGATCAATCTATATATCTAGTAAAAACCAAAACAGCTTGTGCCTATCTGGGTCATTTTTGGTGCCCTCCTAATGTCAGTTTGGCTGTTAAAGGTTGGGTTTACAACGCTTTATTGAGAGCAGTTTTGGTCTATATCTGTGAAACCTAACCCCTTCATCCTAAATTTAATACTTTTCACAAATTCACAATGAATTGTCCACAAAAGATGGATTCGCGTTATTTTCAAGTTGGCGAATTCTTTGACTTGACGTCACTCAAGATGCTCTGTAAAATATTCTTGTCATTGTAAATGGCGTAACACAAATGTGCACTTTGCTTAATGTTCTTTATCAGAGAACCTTATAGGATCAAGTTGTGTCCATCAGTTCGTTGATAATTGATGTCACCGCTCTTCCGAGTGCGCTTTCATACACTTAGCTTTAAGCTACAGTTTGTATGAAAGTTGACTGTTGAGACTGAAGTAGGTGGAGCCAGCTGTATAATATTTGGAAGTCAGGTGCTTTAATCACTAAGCCACTGCTCTGCTGAAGATGTCCGCTTTCCACATTTTAACATAATTCTGTGAATATCCTCCAATGGGTAACTTTTGCCTGATTTCTCAAGTATTGATTTACCTAAAGTTTCAACTATGTGATGTACACAGGTGTATACACCGCGAGAAAGCAGTGAGTAGGACCTTCCCGACAGTGGCCGTATGCTCATGGCCATGTGAGAGTATTTCGACAGGGAGAGCGAACTCTCCCCACCCCCGACTGTACCAGGGCATTTGGGGGCTTTGCTGTTATAAATTCTGATTCCTTCTGTATTAAGAGTACAAGGGACGGCTTAGAAAACATGGGTAGGTTGATGCCATTCAATTGTCAGTATCTTTAAAACGTTGCCTAACTATAATGGAGCTACTGAGTGAACAATATTGATGTTATATGTAGACTATTAGGTAGAAGTGGTTGATTAAACTACCCAACTCACCGAAATAAGGTGTATGAAAGATTTATTACTCTTATTCTAGTGCGCCCTTGCTGATTACCATAGAAGCTGGTTGGAAAAACCTAAAGATTGTCAAATTAGGATCTGACATCAATCGATAAAGATAATAATCCTTAGTCTCAGTTGCGTTAGCAAGGAAAAGTCTTGTGGTAGTTGAAATATTAGTATTTTGCGATCCGAATTCCGAGATATTGGCTCAAGGTCTGTCACAATAGTATAGGTCTTTTGATTACTTGTCTTTCACTAAGTTTTGAACATATCAATGTTCTTAACGTTTTATTTCTCGATTTTATTCACTTCTTTAAAAATACTAATGTTCGATTCCCCACAACTTTCGATATTATTTTCACCCTCTTCAATTGTTTATGATCTTGGTGTGGAATGTAGTGACTAAGAGTGATAAATACGTGTCAGGTCTCGCGTTATTTGTGTTTTCTTATTAAACAACTTGCAATCCTAAAACAGACATAAGTTTAGAATAGCCACTTAATAACGTCTACATTAAAAATCTACTAAACTAAACTAAATGTGAACTAATTATAAGTTTCATTTTGTAAAGTCGAAAATCCCCGTGTTTACCTGTTTGCTAATTTTCCTTGTTACGTGTTTCCATTCTTGTTTGAAGGATGCTAAGCATGCAGGTGATTGGGAGCATCGTGATGTACATAACTTATACGGGTTATACGTACATAAGTCAACTTGGGATGGACTCATGTTGAGGTCGAACGGTGTAGAACGTCCTTTTGTGTTGACCCGTGCGTTTTTTGTTGGTTCACAGCAGACAGCAGCTGTTTGGACTGGAGACAATACTGCTGATTGGTCACACTTAAAGGTAATTTCTTGGTCTTAAAATTTATTTTCATTAAGAGAGTTCGTTAACTGTGTAGATCATACCTAGTAAATGATTATCATAAATGTGTGCTTGATTTAGTTTCATTCATTGTCCCGTGTAATTATAATAACCACGGTTTTCAGAGCAACCATTAAAAGTTGTTTTCTTGTCTAGTATTATAGTCATTCAATAAAGGATATATCGATACGGTTTACAAAACTAGTCATAAATGATAGAAGGAAACGGTTATTTTGTACACATTTTTCAGACATTTACATCTAAATTTTCACCTTAGGTTTGATGATATACTTCATGATTGACACTTAGTTAAAATGGCATCTATTAACAAAAAAGTTTTCGAACCATACAATTTCGAGTGAAATATCTGCGTTTGTACGTGTGCATTACCCTGTGAACAATTCAAATCTGAGGAGTATATGAGTTGCAGTTCCCCTTGCATTAAGACCTTAGATACTGTGTTAAAATATTTGACGTTTTTTTATTAAGTTTCCAGAACTTTAAGTCCTTAAGGTGAAGATTGATCGGAAAACTAATTGTGGTCAATATATTGAACAAATTTCAGGTGCAACCTGACTCATCTAATAAGTAGGAAATCCTTTGAATGGTTTTGATTGGTTTCAACAATTATTAAAAACTTTGAGTAACATAACTCAAAATCGTTCGCAGTAGCGCAGGTGCATTCCCTCTCTGTCTCCTCATCGATTCTAAGTTTCTAAATTACCTCATAGAATTTTTATTCCACTAATCCATGTTCTCTTCTCCAATCATATCTTCGATGTCTTTTTTACCACTACTGGTACTGTTACTACATGTACTAATTTGGGATATGCTTTGGCAATTTCATCTCGCTGTGCTAATGGAGTACGGCGACTTGAACCGATGTACACATGTTTTCAGGGCTTATGTTGTTTATGACTAAGTGATTGAATTGGTTTTAGTAAGTTGAAATATAATTCAAATCACAACCAATTCCTTGTCTTGGACCATTTTGTTGTTTAAAGGATACTGATAGTAGTTTTAGCATTAAAACTACCAACCTTATTACTTTTTGGATATAGCTACCGACATTTTATTACAATAATTCCTGAGACATGTTAACAGTTGTTACTTGTTTTAGAGACTATAGATTGTGTATTATGCACTTGGTTACTATGCATGGTATTTTTCGCTACTCTAGATTTCAACTTCTATGCTTCTCAGCATATCGATCGTGGGGATAACTCTATGTGGAGCTGACGTGGGAGGTTTTTTCGGCAATCCAGACTCTGAGTTATTGACAAGATGGTATCAGGCGGCTGCTTATCAACCATTCTTCAGAGCTCATGCACACATAGATAGCAAACGCCGTGAACCTTGGCTAGTGGCTTCGGAATATATTGATCCCATTCGGTAAGTTTAGTATTCCTCCCGGTTTATTACAATGACTTCGTACGATGAATATGAGACGTGCTTTGCGTGGAAATGATAACATTGATCAGCCGTCCAGACTTAAGTAGCTGGAGTAGATTTTAAATTTATTGAAACCATTCACTTGCGCTTTCATGATTATATTCAGTGGTAGTAAGATAATTCTGGTTAAAAATGTGGTTAGTTTCCTATGTCTTTTAAGAACACAAAAACAGTAATTCAGCTGACAGCTCAAAGTGTACCAGTGAACCGGGCGAAACACGAGAGAAAAAAACTGAATCCTAAAAGAATAGTTGTTCGGTGTTCAACCCACTCCATTCAACTTTATTCCATACCATCCGAAATCCTATATCTTCTGGCTCATATACCCAAACGATCTCATTGTTTTTTCTGATGTACTCACCTTAACTGATTTATCTTGTTAACCGATAATACATACCTAAGGTCTAATTGACGTGAAGTTGAGATACTGTAAGTTTTAGCATATAGTTCGAAATTTCTAGAGATAATACATTTCATTATCAAAGATTGTACAAATTATAATTAGTAAGTTTCATGATTTTTGCAACTGAACATTGACTTTTTTAGACCATTGAGTACTCAAGAGTAACTTATTGTCATGTTTTAATACATTCGTCACTATGACCCCCCCACACCTTTAAACTGTCATAAATTTTCAGTCTTTCACTTTGCACAGAAACTATTATCACTTAGTGAGATTATCTTAAGAATTAAGTATTCTGCAGTTTCCATCAAACAGATTAGCTTAACTTCCTGACTGTTGACTAAGGTACGATCACGAAACGGGGTTCATTTAATTGAAAACTAGCATGTCTTAATTCATTCTATGTTTAGGTAAACTAAAGGCACTAGAGTATTTTGTTATTATCGCACCAAGGTTTTAGTCTGGTTGAAATGTCTTTTAGTTTAAAGGTTTAACCATTTACCTCGGTAGTATTGTTTTCATGATATAAGCTCATTGGGGTAAACAATCCAGCTTTTTCATTCTTGGACAGAGTAGCGCACAAACGTAATTTATCTAGTATAAATAATTAAAACAAAGTGAAGAGAATTCATTGAGCTTCCTAATACTTCCTTTCAGTGTAAAATACGTGTAACGAGATTTTTCCGGCGACTTATTTCACAGTTATTACTTTTTGACTGTATCATTGGAAATGTTTTTACACGAAATACTTGGTTCAAATCATCCCCACATATATTGCGCTGTAGCTGATGATGACATGAAAATTCGTCCGACTAAAAGAAACTCAAACTTGTGGTAGGGCTTAGCAGCGAATTTCGATCTCCTATCATTATGATCCAAGATCTGAGGGAGTGTACCAACGTCTGACCGTTGTTGCTACCTTGACGTGGTGGTCGGGCTTGTCTATCGTGATGAAGCAACTGAGCTATACTGGCTGGAACAACCGTTCCTCAAGGTCCTACCATGCCAGACAGGTCGGTTGAAGAGCGGTAAGACTGAAAGCAACAAAACCAAGATCCGAAGGCGAAGTCGTACTGCTGACTGTACAGAGGTGTGACTGCAGTAAGGTGTTTCCTTCAGACAACCAGCATAACAGCGATGCTGCCTTCCCAAAAGGAGGGGAGGGGTTAGAAAAGGTCGACCCTAAAAATGCACACCTCGCCTTATCCCACGAATATCCGTATCCGGCGGTAAGGTCTCAACAAGTACGGAGCTAACACAAAAATCACTCATAAAAAGGTCGTGTGTGACCGACCTCAAGCAGCTGTCCCTTGGGCACTGCGGTCACGCTCTCAGGTCACTATGACCAACTCTAATCCAATCTCCTTTTCAGGTACTTCCAGCAAAACCCTTCCACGGTGTGGGCAACCGGGAAGTGATAACCGCCCTCATACCTCTAATGGCACTCAAGATCGCTGTATTCATAATCAACCTACCTCTTCAATTCCTATCATTCCTCTTACATCGACTTTCAAATCTAAACTCCCTCTTTCGGCTTCCTCCTCAAGTGTCACCACAGCCAACGATTCTAGTGCGCAAAACACTGTCCCAGGTCTACTGAAACCTCGCTCCAAACTACACATTGGAGCCTTCAACGTACGCACACTATGCCAAATCGGTCAGCAGGCTTCCTTGGCTAAAACCTTAGAATCTCGTACGATTGATGTATGCTGTGTCTCCGAAACACGCATACAGGATCCTAGTGTGGTCATTCACTTGACCTCACCTCGGCAAAACGGAGAGCCGACGAGATACACCCTCCGTGTATCTGGCGACCCGATGGCTAGTTCTCGTGGACTGGAAGGTGTAGGCATAGCACTAAGCATGAGGGCAGAACAAGCGCTATTAGAGTGGATCCCCGTTAATAGTCGTCTATCCGCTGTTCGACTAAACGGCTCGGTAAGAACTCGGAAGGATAGGGACACACGTCGTTGCCTTTTCGTCGTTTCTGCCTACGCTCCCACTGACTGCAGCTCGGATGAAGTGAAAGATGAATATTACAGAATGCTTTCTGAACTTCTTCAGAAAGCTAAACGTTCAGACATAGTACTCGTAGCAGGCGACTTTAATGCCCAGGTAGGTAGCTTAAACGAAACAGAAAGACATTTAGGTGGGTATTTTAGTATTCCGGCACAGAGAACAGATAATGGTGATCGTCTGCTGCAACTTTTCTCAGACAATTGTTTATTTTTTAGCAAACACAAATTTTAAGCATAAGGAGAGACATCGTCTAACATAGCGACCCCCTGCACCAAATCAACGATGGACTCAAATAGACCATATTGCCATCAGTCATCGTTGGAGAGGGTCGATAGAAGATTGTCGCTCATTCTGGAGTACCTGCTTGGACTCCGACCATGCCCTAATACGAGCACGCATCTGCTTGCGCCTCACTGGACGCAAAAAAGCCACATTAGAAAGACTCATTAGAACCGAATTGAGTATTGAGAAAACCAAAAGTAGGTTCCAGGAACAACTGAGGTCACACTTAGGTAGTTCTGAAAACGAGGCTGACCCCGATGTTGATTGGAAAAACATACAAGCGGCTGTGGAAACAGCAGTGACATCTACTAGTGATTTAAACCACAGGGTTACAAAGAACCAGTGGATTTCTTCAAGGTCTATTGCACTGATAGATTCTCGTAAACTCATCCCATCAGGTTCTGAACACGATGAAGAGCGTAAAGAAATCAGATCTAGGTTAAGCAAAAGTCTAAGGAATGATCGTGAGCAGTGGTGGGCAACGAAAGCAAAAGAGATGGAAAAGGCGGCGGCTATAGGGAACACAAGACAACTCTACAGACTAAAAAAAGAAACTGGAATTAATAAATCAAGTGTAAGTCAGACTATTTCGGAAAAAGACGACACTCTCATCTGCTCCCAGTCCAGACGTTTAGAACGATGGGCGGAATATTTTAAGGAGCAATTCAGCTGGCCTTCAGCTACTCTACAACTACCCTCCATTCTCAGATAGTGTGAATGGAACATTGAAGTGTAGGTCCCTCAACTCTAGCTGAAGTTCGAAAGGCTATAGTTAATCTGAAACGAGGAAGGGCAGCAGGTCCAGATGGATTGGCCCCAGGGGTCTTTAAAGATGGTGGTCTAGTTTAAGCGATTAGGTTGACTAATATTTTAGCTATAATCTGGGAGTTAGACGTTATCCCATCTAACTGGTCACAATCACTTATCGTCCCAATATTTAAGAAAAAGTCAAAATCATCCTGTGACAACCACAGAGGGATTAGTTTAACTAATATAATATCTAAAATACTAGCTTCGATAATTTTCGAACGCCTAACTAAGACTCGTGAACTGCAAACACGTGAAAATCAGGCTGGCTTCAGACCTGGTCGTGGCTGCATCGACCACATATTCACCATTCGTCAGGTTCTAGAACACAGGCATACTTATCGGCGTCCGACAATAATGGTCTTCCTTGACTTAAAAGCAGCATTTGACTCTGTGGACCGAGAGGTTCTGTGGCAGTGTCTGTCATTGAAAGGCGTACCTCAGAAGTACATAAACCTTGTGAAGGCTCTTTACTCGAACACTACTAGTCGATTCAGAGCTTATGGCGAACTGTCATCTGCTTTTGCAACCTCAAGTGGCGTCCGCCAAGGCTGTCCACTTTCTCCATTTTTGTTCAACTTCATCATAGATCTACTGATGGAAATAACGCTCTCATCGACTGAATTCTCAAGTATTGATTTCCTTCCAGGAGGTCCACTTATCGACTTAGAATACTCAGATGATATGGTCCTGTTTGGTTAAGACGCTGATAAAATGCAGAGTCTTTTGGTAGCACTGAGCAACAATGCAAGAATGTTCGGGATGCGCTTCTCTCCTTCCAAATGCAAGTTGTTGCTTCAGGACTGGTCTACGTCAACACCTGAACTAAGGATAGGGGTGAAGTAGTCGAACGCGTTGAGAACTTCCCTTATCTTGGAAGTCTGATCAGCCCTAATGGATTGGTGTCCGACGAAATCTCAGCACGGATTCGAAAAGCTCGCTTGGCCTTTGTCAACTTACGTCATCTATGGCGCAGGCGAGATATCCGTCTATCAATTAAGGGACGAGTATACTGCGCGGCAGTTCGTTCCATTCTACGATACGGCTGCGAAACATGGCCTTTAAGAGTAGAAGATACTCGTAAGTTATTAATATTTGACCACAAATGCCTTAGAAATATTGCGGGTATCTGCTGGGATCACCGGGTAAGTAATAGTGAGGTTAGACGCAGGGTGTTAGGGAATGATGGTAAATCAGTTGATGAGGTTATGAATCTTCATCGACTGAGATGGTTGGGCCACGTGTTGCGTATGTCTGGACACCGATTACCACGACGCACAATGCTAACCGGTGTTAGGGATGATTGGAAGAAAGTTAGGGGCGGCCAAACCAATACGTGGCATCAGTGCTTGAAGTCACTAACTTCTGGTCTGAGCCATGTTGGTAGATGCAGACTGCCATGTTGGGGTCCGCGTGACTATCGTAACCAATGGTTGGAGACTCTTGGTGACATGGCTCAGAATCGATCACAATCGCGAAGGTGTATACACTCTCTGTCTTCCTTTAAACTAAGAGATTAAAATCACTTCAAATCTTTCTTTCTAGGAACTAATTCTATCTTCCTGTACTATCTCCTTATACACACTCTTTCTTCTATATATTACCACCACTGAATTAACTACTCCTATGAATTTGGTGTTCATCTTGTTGTGCTAATGCGGTATGGCAACTTGGACCGATGCATATATGTGCCTGGTCCTACGTTGCGACTGACTGACCAACGTCATGGAATGAGTCGATAGTTGTCCCTATCTTTAAAAAGGGTTCACGTCGTTCCTGTAACAACTATCGGGGGATAAATCTACTTCCGATTGCGTCCAAGCTATTGGCTTCCGTTATACTTCGTAGGTTGTTCAAAACCCGAGAAGGATTGACTCGTGAGGAGCAGTCTGGGTTTCGTTCTGGTCGAGGATGTATTGATCATGTCTTCACCCTCCACCAAGTGTTAGAACACCGCTATACTTATCAAAGGCCAACAATCGTAGTGCTTCTTCATATCAGGGCTGCCTTCGATTCGTTGGATAGGACTGTTCTCTGGGAGTGTCTATTGAAGAAGGGTGTGTCTAAGAAGTTTATTAACATCCTAAAAGCCCTATACACAAACACCTCTGGCAGAGCGAGGGCATACAACCACCTTTCTCCATTGTTCCATTCAAGCAGTGGGGTTAGACAAGGTTGCTCACTCTCACCATTCCTCTTCAACTTTGCCATCGATGACATTCTGGAAACAGCTCTGACGGATGTAAGTAATGGTGGTGTGGATCTGCTACCTGGAGAAAGACTTCTTGACCTTGAGTATGCGGGTGATATTGTCTTACTGTGCGATAATGCCCAAGCAATGCAATCCTCACTTAATCACTTGGCAATCAGTGTCCGTAGGTATGGTATGTGCTTCGCACCTTCGAAGTGCAAAGTCCTTCTACAAGACTGGCAGGATTCTAATCCTGTACTCACTCTGGATGGTGAGCAGATTGAAGTAGTCGAGAAGTTCGTGTATCTGGGTAGCTGCATAAGTGCTGGTGGTGGTGGTGTGAGTGATGAGATCAATGCACGTATAGTGAAAGCCAGAGCGGCTTATGCCAATCTGGGCCATCTTTGGCGCCTTCGCGATGTTAGTCTGGCTGTAAAAGGTCGGATCTACAACGCGACGGTGGGAGCAGTTTTGCTCTATGCTTGTGAAACCTGGCCTCTCCGAGTTGAGGATGTTAGACGACTCTCTGTGTTCGATCATCGTTGTCTCCGAAGGATTGCTGGCATCCAGTGGCAACACCATGTCAGTAATGCAGAGGTTCGGCATCGTGTGTTCGGTCACAGAGACGATAATGAAATTGGTGTCACCATCTTGAAACACCGACTTCGGTGGCTTGGACATGTTCTACGAATGTCGTCCCAGAGAATTCCACGTCGTGCATTATTTGCCGACTCTGGGACTGGTTGGAAAAAGCGGAGAGGTGGTCAGTATATGATTTGGTGTCGTGGTATGAAAGAAAGCTGCAAAGGGCTAGCTTCTGTTGGTCCTTCACGACTCCCTGGTTGGGGTCCGAGAGATGGTGTAACACAGTGGCTAGAGACGTTATCAGATATGGCTCAGAATAGAAGCCAGTGGCGATCGTGCTTTAACCTCTTACTTTCTTCATAAAAAGTGGTTGTATCTTCCTTAACTGAAAGTTTTCTTCTGGTTGTACCTTTCCGTTTCCCCCATTATTGTTCTCTCTTTTTTTCTCCTTCTCTTCAAATTCTGATTGTTTTGTGTGGCGCATATATATTTGGTGCCCTCTTGTACCAATATATATGTGTTCATATAAATAAAGCACTGAGGATAATATTAAAGCGACTGCTTGAAATTTATTGGTCACACTTGTCGCCGTTTTGAAGAACCGTTTTTCATGTCCTCACTTTGCCTCCATTAAACCTGTAACTCAATAATATTAATAATTTTAAAAGTGGCATAATCGGCCATTATTGTTTTAATATGGATATGAAAGCTAATACTTTGTTCATTGGTTAGCGTTTTAATGATATTATGCTATGGTAATTATCCTATCACTAGTTTAAGTCTGAGTCCGGACATGGTTAAAACTTTAGATAGTTTGTTTCTCGTCATATTTGGGCCAAAACCGTGTGCACCTAAACACGTATTTCGAGTTGATGTTGATTATTGAAATACTTCTGTGTGTAGCCAGATATTTTTCAACTTGTGATAGTAAAATGATCGCTTTTATTCTACAGAAAAGCAATACAAGCTCGCTATCAATTACTTCCATATTGGTATACACTATTTGCTCGTTCGGAAGCAAACGGTCAACCAGTTATGGCACCTATGTGGTTTCATTTTCCTAAAGATGTGAATACGTTTGGTTTGGATGATCAATATATGATTGGAGAAGCTGTGCTTGTGAGTCCTGTCACTGATCAAGGTGCTGGCTATGTGCAATTATATTTTCCAAAGGGAACATGGTATCATTATCCATCGCTTGAGGTAAGTGATAATTTCTATGGATTTTAAATAGTTTTGCTTGACAGCTAATGTGTAACATAAAAATAAGCGTAAATCCTACATATAAATGTAGACCTTGTATTTATAACTATGAAAAGAAGAGATAGAGTTATGGTAAATGAATGTTAAAGGAACAGTTTGTCTCTAATTATATCGCTAATCAAAATATTCATTGAGTAATGTCCAGACTCATTGAAAGAAATAGAATGATTTTTTTTTACTGAGTTCAACAGACAAGTACATGAATGTTTTCTTTTCTATAATACTATTATAGTTATCAAAAGCTACCTTAAGCTACCAAAAGAATATATACCATCTAAGAATAGTCTATTCAGTTTGCTTTGTACTATTCAAACACGTGGTAATTCGGTTATTTGTTTACTATGAAGAAGTGGCTTGCATCAAGTCACAAAACGTCAGAAATACAATTTTCTTACTCGTTAGGATATAACAAAAATATATTTATTAATAACTTTCTATCCGATGCTCATGTTATATAAAACTATCAAGTCGAACCTTGTCAGTAGTATCTATGAAGTATCAGTTAAGGTTTGTAGTGCCTCCAGAAACCATTATATGAATGTGTTTTGATGTTTTTGAAATAAAATATCATGTGTCCATAACTGTTATTTAATATAATAATGCCACTAAAGCTTACATTTGACTAATTGTTAAATCAAGGAATTATGTTTGTTGTCCTATCATAAACTGTTCTGGTCGATTCGACAAACTCTGTATTTGTTATTCTTGCGAAGTCAAATTTATCAATAGAAAAATTCATATGAAATTCCTATATTTAATTGTAGGTATTTGCAGGTGGACAGTCGACACAATATCCAGTAACGATAAATTCCATACCTGTGTTTTATCGAGGTGGGTGGATTATACCACGAAAAGAGCGTATACGTCGTTCATCATGGCTTATGCGTAGTGATCCCTATACATTTGTTGTTTGTTTGGACCCTCAAGAGCGTGATGCTGTTGGTTATATATACATAGATGATTTCCATTCAACTTCTAAATCAAATGCCCAGTTTTTCAAAATTATTTACCAACGAGTTGTCGACCCAACGGGTGCAGGTGTGCATGGTGGACGATTGCGCTTACAACGTTTACCATTACCAGGTGAAACGTCCATAGTACTACCTAAAGATGATGTTTTAATACCGAAAATTGAACGCTTTGTTATTGTTGGGTTCAGTAGTCCTTTGGAAAGAATTACTGTGATCGATGCCCATAAACCACGAAGGAATTTAGGGTTTTCCATTACTCCGTCCTCTGTTTTTTCTGCTGGTTTTAAACACATACCACGCATTGTTGTTGTTCGTAAACCTGATCTTTCATTAAATGATGAATGGGAAGTGCATTTTGTCACAGGTAAAGAATCCAGGGATGATTTGTAAATGATAGTTGATATCAATTCTATTTGTTCAACGTGGTACTCTCATGTGTATATGATTTGGCTTCAAGTTATCTTATTTTCTAAAATACTTGCTCAGTTTTAATTTTTACATAATTTCTCTCCATCTCTTGAAACGTGACGTGTACTCTTGCTTGTCTGTTTGTTTTTTCACTTTTCATGTTTTCGTCTCGTTTTTTCCTGTTTTTAGCGCATCTTTCTCAGTTCCCTTTTTCTATTTTGTCATTGTATCTGTGTTTGAATGTAAACAAGGAATTTTTCACTGCTTTTATGTATGTTTTTATTTTAAAAAGTGAATTTGTTTAGTTAAGAAAGAAACCTTTTTTGGATTTATAATGGAATCGTCAAAAGATTTAGGTGCATATTTATATAAATTGTTTAACCATTTACTTCTAGACATTACTCATTTGTCTCAGATCTGTGATTAGAAATGTTAAGTAACACTGAGTTGAATGCGACTCCTAATTAACAATCACTAGAATATGATGGCTTTGTAAATCTTATATTGGCACCGAGTTTAAAAGAATGCCTAACCGAACTTATCCTAAATGTAGGCTTATATCCAATATGAAAATTTGTGTATTTAATGTCATATGCTTAGATCAAGTCATCTGGTGTAACACCATAACCAAATAAATCAAAAAGTGAAGCACTATAAAGGTACATTTGTGAGTTATGCATACTATAAGGCTTAAACCAAAAGTGGTCTTTAGGCTGGTGGATAAATCATCGCCTATTCGTCTAAATAGTGATACCATTAATGCTATTAACATTAGTGATTATACACAAAAGCGTAATTGATTGATTACAGATGGGAAACAACTAGGATTTCGAATGAACCTGTCACTTATTGGCAAAACTGTTTCATAGAATCCCGGTATTATTCACTTTCCAGTGATTGATTGATCATATGAACGTGTCAGAAGTATTCCACAAAAAATAAATTTTAAAAATCCATACGGTTCTTCATTTTTGTGGTACCGCTTTTTACAACCACTGATGTTGATCTAAAGATACTCAACCACAAATCATCTGTACTTCGAAATTAACTAAATATCAAGTTCAAAACACACATGGTTTTGATCATATTCCAGTATGGGAAGGGTTATTCACTGTTCAATTACTTCCACTCCCTATAGCATTTAGATGACAGGTTATCCACAGAAGAACCCGTATTTAAAGGCGATTGCTTCCTTTAAGATATCATAATTATAGTGAATTAAATCACTTAAAAGTAACGTACTTTTATAGGGTTAGTGATAGCCTTTTTCTACCACAACATTTTTTAAAAAATAAGCTTTGTGTACGTATGTCACTGCTGGTGTGTGTTGTTAAAATTGGCAATTTCGGCATAGTAAAGATAAGTGATATCACAAAGCACTATCTTCAGTTTAATGCTGAGTGAAATAGAGGATTACAAATGTGAAACCTGGTTTTCGTTTATCATTATGGATTCGATCGTTTTCCTTTCTGTTATTGTTCCACTTACTAGTCTGTTCAAGTGTAGAATCATATTGGTAATATTACGTCGACTTTGACTTGGGAGAAAAAGTCATTTAGTTAAAAGTGATAATTTCAAATAACAACTATTCCGGTCTTAAGGACAATTGGAAAGAAAATAGTGATGAGATTAATAAGTTTTTAGTACTGGCGTAAGATTTTCAGTTCTAATTACTAGATAAAGTCCTAGAGATGTTTTTACTAATTTACTGTAGTCGTAGTTTGTTATAGATAAGATAGAGTTTTTCGTCTTAAATCTCGTAAACAAAACAGGAAAAGAATGTAAAGTCACTTAAATATGATGTAACATATCTCTAGATTGTTCTGATTAATTACTATTTTGTTTAGTAGTTTATATGTTCCTCACTTCCCTTAATCTATGTTGTGTTGAAAAAGACCCAACAATTTTTTTAGAAATAAATATTTTGAATACAATCATATAGACTACATTTCCGTAAGAAAGTTTATCGAATTCATTTTGAATCCTTAATATTGTCTAGTTCGGAAAATATTTGGGTGGACAATTGCGTCAATAGATTAACCTTTAGATCCTAAAGTGTAAAGCATACTTGTCAATCTTGTTTATATGATCCAGCTCCACATATCGAGAATAGGGAATGCTTGCTCCTGACTTTCAGTTTATATATTTACTTTAACTTTTTCTTGTAAAGTACTTAAATTTGTGTATTTATGCCCCTTAACTTTTTCCACTACGAATATTGTTTTCACATTAACCATAAAAATTATCGACTTTGTATTATATCCACTTAGTTATGGTACATTAGTTGATTAGTAGTCACACATAATCTTACGACCTTTTCCCTGGTTTTTATTACATGGCGTTTGAACTGTACTCAATAAATCCTCTAAGCTGTTGTGAAATCCACCGTCCTCAATTTAGAACAACAGATTATTCAGTTAAAATCTTTTTAGTTTAAGTTAGCTATTGTTATTCAGTATTTAGAAATTTATGACTTTAGCATGAGAAACAACTGGTGGCTCTTTTATATCCTATTTTAAATGACTCGAGGTCTCTCAACAGTTAGATTAATGATTAAATAAAATGAAACCCACTGTAGTCTGACTAGCTATTTAATTGGTTAACCTTAATTCCTGAAATCCATTCTGTCAACAGAAGTGGTATTATTGAGCTAGACTGTTTAGCAGAGTAAGCTTCAGGTTGCAACTAACTTTATTATTTATACACATTTCTATTAAATTGTTAGCGACATTTTGGCTGTATTTGAGAATTTGTATTATAACTCACAGCAATAGTAGGGTGAGTGTGGTGTTTTGAAAAGTTTATCAGATGATCACATTCTCCTTAACCTTAAATTTAAATAAATGAATAAATAAAATGCCACGCCCATGTTACATTTGTGGGTGAGAATTGAATCGCTTATGTTTATTGGTATGGCTTAATATGACTTAGTCCTAACGTCTTATTGTCTTATTAGATCTTAGTTAGATCGCAAAAATCTATCACTTACATTTAAGTCTTTCTGTTAAGATAGCTTGTGACAATAATAACTAACATGACAGAATAAGAATAATTTACATTATCAAGAAATTGACTAATGCGACTGTGTCAACACTGTAGGGCCAGTGAAATGTCACTAAGCCCTGGCTAAATCATCCGGCAGTTGGGTCACTGTATATCGAACCGACCAAGGATGATTTACGCGCATCAGTTAGTCGTTCGCCAAGGATTTTAACTAATATATTTCTGTAATAACACCCTTTGTGTCGTACAATCTTCAAGGCATTTATAGTACCTCGATACGACGATGGAGCAATCCACATAAGGTGCTGACCACGAGGTGTGACTTCGACGTTAGTTCGTTCGTTACACCATTCCCGTCTTACTTTAGTAGGCCCCCAATCATTCGACATAGATCATCTACGCTGGTGAGTTACAACATTGTTAAAGATTTATGTAATCAGTTATTAGCAGTACGGTAACTTGTGAATTAAAGCAATATCTAGGCAAACGCACAGTATGCACATATGCCAATGGCAGACTGATCAATTGCAGTCTTAAAACCTCAATGGGAAGACACATGCAAAACAATACCAAGTGAAGTTTTGTTTAATTGTACCAAAAACAAACTTTTTCCGTTGTTTGTGACCTCGAACTTACGCACGCACGGTAGTCTCGTCTGTAAACTTTGGCACGATCTCGGTATTATTACGATACCACGACATCCTCAATAAATATATTCTAACTACAGTCTACAACTGTTCTTCTAACATTTTTCCTACGAAGGGATTTAAGTTGGAAATTGGCACGTAGTTGATCTGTAGTGGTGATCATAGTCAACTGCTACTCGACACTACCACAAGGTCACTACTTTGCTGAATGTGTAGTGTCACCAAACCCTTACCACAAAGTCCTCATAGCTAAACACGAGACAATTGGGAAAACAGATATTGAACATTTAACGAGGAGAAAAACCCGACGATGGAGAAGGCGTGAACAATGAAGCGAATTAATTCGAACTGATCATACAGCATGCTCGGCATTGCATGCGTGGTCACCCTTAAGTGTTGTAACATAATCTTTTATTCATATTAAATATATTGTTATATCCCTAGCCTAAGTTTGTTCTCAATCATTTATTGATGTAGACAGTAATGTTACTTCTATGTAAGATCTTACAGATTAGGGGGTTATATCATGACAAATCTACAAACTTAGGATCAGGTTTTTCATTAGAGCAGTACTAATATCATAGTACACCATAATTTTAAATTGGGTAAGCCCGACGTGTAGTGGCGTTGGACCTTAACCACAAATGTACGCCTAACTAAAACTATGACCACGTTTCCTCAAAACTGATCACAGGTGATATGACCCAAAATATAGTTTTTAAGTGGTTTTACTAAACAAAGTCTAATGACAAATCCAGTTCTAGTGATCTGAAGATAGTTTCACAGTTATTGAGATTAGTACTGCAAGGTCAGTGTAGTGTCCTCGGTCCCTAGCCAAACCATTCGACATTCTAGTCGCTGAGTGTCAGACAGCTCACCGACCATTCCCAATTCCAAGAACAAGCAAGGCGTATCAGTTAATCACATGCCATGGACTAGCCCATGCGGTTACATAAAAACTACACTTCACGGAGACTTTCCGCATATATCTTTAATTGCTGTAATTACTGTACATAATACAAATATCGAATATACAGCAGTCAAATTCCGATAGAGCTTTCAATAAAAGTAGAATTTGTTGGGATATCATACTATCCATCTGATAAAAACATGTTTTCCTTAGTTTTTATGTCTAGTCTTCGGGTTGTGTTTCGTTATATACTTAGAGCATTCGCGTTAGGGCTCTCTAAGCTTGCTCGAGATGTATTCGTAAATCTCTCTACTCATAATGAGTGAAAATAATTGATGATGCTTTCAAAATTTTCTTATATTGACATGGGACTGCTTATTATGCGGATGGAAAACGCTGTGGCAGTATATCAATTATCTTTCAAACTATTGGTTATCAATATTATTATTATTTTCAAAGATATAATGAATTCCTTGCTTCTGTGGGCAGTCGATCAGGTTTGTACAAGCGAAACTACTAGTCTATCCATCCAACATCTCATAATTCTTTTAAACTACTAAGCAATCCACTACCGGCAAAAGCGCTCCTGTTCAGTTGCGTTGAAAAGACTTTATCAGCTGACATGAAGGCTCTGAGTTGTTAAATTGAATTAATATAATGCTTCGGGATAAGATGGTTTTCTTGGTACAGTATCAATAATTAACGGTTCGTCACAACATAGGACTATCGACTGAAATCCTCCGATCAAAGATGAGACCAATGATCCGAAGAATAGGTTAGTTAGCCAACGAACCAGCCTGGACATATGGAAATCTTGACGGAAACAC